CCTGTCACATGAATTTTATGCTCCTTCCTCCTTAATTAGCCCTGGGTACAGAGCAGCAATTATGTACAGAATAGAGAAAAATTCAGTGCTTCCTCTAAGGAAGGGTTAAATAGACAAATATTTAGATCAGATTCCCCTCACACCTTTGGACTAATTGGGTTTGATGCTAAAAATAAATTACCCAATAGGTTAAAGTGAGGTAATGTTAAAAGAACTGCTTGGAAAAAAACTACCAAAATGCAAGCGCTTTACCATGAGTAGTTAAGAGCAACTTGCAATGGGTGTCAGGGGCTTCAAGGAACATCCCAGGGCAACAATGGAGCATTATCACAGGCAATACTGCATCACTAATGCTCTTGATGGCACAGATGACAGCAGTGCATGGAAAAGCAAAGACCCCCAATGTCTGTAAATTGAAAAGTAATTAGAAATAGTCAAATTCTGAATAGGAATAAGTTTTATAAATCTCTTACCCAACTTACTTCACTTATCTTTTTTATGTGTGCAGAAGACTGATGTCCAAATAGGTCTAAAAGAACTAATTCAAAAAGTTTAAAATAAAAAATACAAGGACTAAGAAAAGATTGTGTCAGTTTAGTTGGAAGCATTTTTATTCTTTTTGCATAAAACGAAATAACTGTATCTTGTACTAATGGCACCTTAAATTGATGTTTGTGGCATAAATATATGTATATCAATATCTGTACAGGATCACATAACTAAGAAGAAAATTATGGATGAACATAATTTAGGATACTAATATGAGTGCGTTAGTCTGGTAGAGTCACCGGAAAGGGACCAGGCCTAAAGCCAGTATGCCTCAGGCCAGCTCTAGTGTGTGCGTTCTTGACTTTTCGTAGGAACGATTTCATAAGTCCAGGTGATTTTGAGAGTACATTTGTTAAAGCTGGGGGAGTGAAAAAGGAAGGTGTTAGGATAGAAAAAGCAACAGGAGAAAGCTAGACAGTACTGCTTTGGCCCTCTAGAAACCTTATGGAAAGGAAGTGAGCCACATAGGGCTGCGTGGTCTCACTGAGAAGTACAAGTCATGATGACGGAAGCGGGCTGCTTCCAGCTCACTGAAAAGTCAGAGGAAAGGGGGCCTTGGACACAGGTTCAGGGGGTTAGCTCTGTATAAGCTGTCACTGCATGCTGCTCCCTGATTGCAAGTCTCGTGTTGACTCTTAGAGTTTAGAGAGCAAAAGTGCTTGCCTGAGAGAAGAAGGGGCACAGGCGTGCTCCAAGAAGAACACTGGATGGCTTCCTTTATCTTGGGGGATTTTATCTGTTTTCTGAAGGTAGGAATTTTAGGGGAGGTCTGGGGAGGATCTCAATAGAATATTCATCAACTTTCCAGGTGTGTCCTTCAATGTGCTGATTTATCAAAATGAGTGTAGGAGGGGTCAGGGTCATTCTCTGATCAGTTTTACCTTCAAAGAATGTCCCCAGTTTCCTCTGTCTCTTGCATTTTTCACCTCACTCTCTCTGCTCCAGAAACCCCACATTTCTTCATTTCCTCAGATACTCCTGCTTTTTCTCAGAACTCTTCTCCAAACTGCCCATTTTTGCTTTATCTTTATTCAGTCTTCAAGTCTTAGCTTAGAATTTACTTCCTTAGAGAGGCTTTGCCTCATCCCACACCAACTTTCTCATGCTAGTCCAAACTCCAATAGAATCATCTGGAGTTGTGTTTAAAATGTATATACCTGGTTTTCACTCTAGCACTGAAGAATCAGACTACTGTTGCCGGGTGCGGGTGGGGTGAGAATTCTTCTGCATCCTAGAGAGTGCATGTCTATGCCGTGCAGTAGATGCATCCCCTTGCCATACTTTTCCTAACACTTTAAACTTTCTCCTTCACTCACAAGTATTACAGTTATTTAATGGAGGGGTCAGCAAGTGTATTCTGTATGGAGCCAAGTAAAATATATTTTAGGGCTCTGTGTAGGTTCCTGTATAATAAGACAGAAAACAAATTTTCCCAAACTTAAATAAAATTTTAACAAAATTTAAAATGTAATGGAGTGTATTGTGTTGGGATAACATTTCACTTAATTAGGGTCAAAGATAGTGTTTTCTAATATTATAATGCAAACATGACCTCATTCTTCTACAAAACGTCTCCTTGCTTCTCTACTGCACAGTTTGAGTGGTTATAAGTCAGTATCATTTAGGAGGAAAAGGCGGTACAGGGAACCTCTATAGATAATACGCATGCACACATACACAAACTCCACCAAAGATGAACAAAAACACATTGTCAAGTCAGCCTCTAGCATTTCACTGCTCCGTTAGCGTATGCTTTCTCTGCTCTGGCAATTGATCTACTCCCCTATGTTTTATTAGGGAAAACAAAGGCAACTGCTTGTAGTCAATATATTTGAAAGCCAACTTTCCAGGTAGAAACAGGATATTTTAGAGTCACAACTTGAAGCTAAATACCAAAGATGACTGACTGCATGTTCAAAGGAAAATGCACAACGTCATTCTAGGCCCTGACACTTCCGGGTAAGAAACTGTATCTTGGCCATTGCAAATTTTACATGATTTTTCTTTGATTGTCTTCCCCCAGTTTCTGGACATAGAGAAGCATGGCAAAGTCAAATGGGCAGTCAAAGAAAGTACAAGGTGGTAGACTAGAGAAAATGTTCCTACTGTGTGGCTCAGCCTCCAAAAAGTTTCACCAAAATAAAAGTACAAGAATTTGCATAACAAGGGGAAAATATATCACAATAATATGCTACTAAAAAGACAAATGATAATCTGGAGGCATATTTGGAAATACATATTGATTGAAAGAATGCAAATGACAAAACAGAAAAAAATATTTTCAACTTATATATAAAGTCTCCAAAAATGTAGACAACCGAAAACCCTATGAAAATTTTACTAGTGATGTAAACAAACAGTTCATAGGAAAAAAAAATGCAAATTACTCTTACGTATATGAAAAAATGCTCAACCGCTTTCATAATAAGAGAAATACTAATTAAAACTACAATTAGATACAATTTCTCACCTATAATATTGGCAAAACCCCAAAACTTTGACATCATACTTTGTTGGCAAGACTTTAAAGAACAGGCACTCGCGTAACTTGGTGATGGAAATGCAAAATAGCATAGCCCCTATGAAGGAGAATTTGGCAGTATCTACAAAATGTCATATACATTTACCCTTTGACCCAGCCATTCCACTTCTAGAAATCTCTCCCACAGAAACACTGGCAAAGATACAAAAACACACATGCTCAAATCTGTGCATCTCAGCACTACTCAAAATAGCTAAAAGCTGGAAACAACCCAAAGTTTCATCACTCGTGGGCTGGTGGGATTAGCTGTAGTATATCCACCCAAAAGGGTACCAGGCAGCTGTAAAAAGAAATGAGGACTCTCTATGTATACTACAGACACTCACACTTTCTTGATTCATAATCCCCTTAATGTCTCAATAATTTTTCATGGTCTCCCTAGGCCAAAAGAAATGCCTAATAGTTTTACTTATTAATGTAATTCAGCAATTCCATTTATTAGTGTATCAATCAGTTTGGTCCTAAGGTAGGGTGGAGGGGACAGGAAAAAAACTTAACTTCTTTAAATATTTTTTATTGGTAGTTATGTCTTTTGAACTGCTAACATATTTTATGTAAAATTTTTTTAAAAAATAAGTTTTTTAAAAGCAATTCTTGAAAATCAAGAGCAAAGGAAACAAGTGAGCCTAACTATTTATCTAGTTGCTGGTATGAACCACATAGAGAGAGATTACTCCAGGCTGCTTTAAATTAGAACAATTTGACTATACATCCCTACTAGGATATGCCCTAAGGGCAAAAGGACTGCAAATAGCAACAACTCAAACTGATTTAGGTAGTCATGTTTGTGTTGCTGTTAGTTTTATTCTAATTGTCCATTGACATGAGACAAAGGAATCGAGCAAGCGTGTTGTTTTTCACTGTGAACCATAATTTTTAGCATGGTAGGAAGCAGATACTGATATAAGACTGATGAGGTTAAGTGAAAACCTCATAGTCCTGAATTTGAGTTAGAAATATCGGCATGAATTTATAATGTATTTTATCTTCAAAAAAAGTACCTATGTCATAGCTTTGTCTGTTGAAAAGGCTTAGGAACTATGACCAATCTCAGCGATAAGTATCTTTGTACCCAGATTGGGTTCTAAATGTTATTTTTCCACAAAAAGGAATCCTTTTCATGAAAAGAAATGGATGACTCTAGATCTGGGGCAGGAATTATGAAAGATGAGCCTGGACTATCTTATCGTGCCAGAAGGCAAAAGATGCTATCAAAGGTCATGTCAAAAGGACTTAGAAGACTTATTTTTGTTAAATCTCACCTGAGGATTTTTTTTCCATTGCTTTTACAGAGAGAGTGGAAGGGATGGTGGGAGGTGAGGAGAGAAGGACAAAGAGAGTGAGAGAGACATTGATGTGTGAGAGCCAAGTCAACTGGCTGCCTCACGCATGTGCCCCAACCTGGGGCAGGGAGCAAACCCCCAACCCAGGAATATGTCCTTGACCGGAATTCTGACCCTTTGGTGAGTGGGCCAATGCTCTACACCAGCCAGGGCTAGAACAATTTTACACAATTTTATAAAACATTCAGGGACACATGCTTCTGGAAATAACAGTCTTCATTTGTCATCTGTCTTTCCCTATGAGAGCTGAGGACAGGTTCACTGCTAAATGTCTGATGTGTAAGTGCTGTTGTCATAATTAGCCAGCTGATTGATGCTTCTCTCAAATCGATGTTACTCTATCCCTCTCCCTTCCCCTCTCTCTCTCTAAAATCAATAAAAAACATATTTTAAAAATTCAGATACTGGCTAAACATTGAAGATACATCCACAGACAGAGGACATCTGTCCCACACCTAATGAAATCTGGTTGGAAGACAGAATAAAGGAAAGAGTGTAACTAAGTACCTATTTGCCATTCTGAAAATTACTGTGACAGAAAATTACAGGAGCTATGAAAGTCTTACCTGGATGATGGGAGAAAGGAACTCTGGAGAAATCTTTCTACTGCAGCCATCTTTAGCCAGAAATCTGAAGGTGTGCAGAGTTAACCTAGATGGGGTCGGAAGGATAAGAGTTGCTCTTCAGACTAAAAATAAAACTATTCATAGCAGAATCCTACAATCCTAGCAGGGAAAAAAGGAGGAGAGCGACTAAAGATCAGGCTAGAAAAGTAGGTGAGGCCAGAGCCTGGGGCACTTTGTAAATTGCATTCAAGGTGTTAATCTTATCCAAAGAATAAGGAGGAAATCAGTTTTAAGCCAAGGAGTGGCCAGACAGATTTGCATACTGAGTTACACCCATTAAGCCTCAGGGCAATGGGTATGCTATTATTTCTGGAGTCAGGATTTTCCCTCTTTTAGAAAATTATTAAGGGAGCTCATACAGTTAATACATAATTCTTGGATGTACACGAAACATTTTATTATTTTAAAAAACAAATAATGGAACACATATAGTCAATATAATACCTGGGCAACACACCAAGCACGCTCATATTTCTGCAGACAAATGTATGAATATTAACAGCCAGGAGGACAAATAGTTTCCCATCAGTTCACATCTGTTTTTGTTACCAAATATGATACAAAAAGCTTTTGATTCTCAATGCATTTCTTTATTGCAGAATCACAAGTAGGGAACTGTGGGCTGGGAGCGGAGAAATGCTAAGAGCAGATCTCCAACAGGTTTCTGCTGAGCAGATGGTGAAAGGGGCCTTCACTGAGAAGATAAGGCGAGAAGGCCAAGCATCCCAGAGGCCAAAGCAGAGCCTGTGGGGAAGGGGCCAGCCACCTGGGTAGTCTGAGGAGAAAAGAACTCTAAAGCAGAGGCTTAGCATTGGGGGCCTGGGCCAAGATGCCAAGGATATGGGGCGTGGTAGAATTTAGTGTCTGTCTGGGCTCGAGTAGGTTGAATCCCAAGAAGAATCAGAGGATAACAAACTTAAAAGACTACGGCCTTTCTTAACTTTCTAAATGGAAAACTGAGAGGCTCTTTCGGCGTCTTTTGAAGGGAAGTCTTCCCAAAGTGGCTAAGGGGTAGGAAAGGTTTTACGATTGCATCTCCTCTGTGGAATCCCAGCCTCCAGGCTTCATGTTTACAGGCCAGCACCTCTCCTCACAGGCTCGAGGAAGAGAAGGCCCATGCACCCCACACTCACTGTCTAGGGCTCAGCCCTGAAATTTCAGTGTTTGTATAGCTCTGCTATCACTTTCCTGAAGACCTGTAGAAAACGGGTTACCAGGTTTCTTGCTTTCCTCCGTAAAGAAGGTCATTCTTGAGATCCAGCAGTTAATATCAGAGTTTTTTGCACATCCTATATAATGAAACCCTAATATGCAAATCAACCAAACGGCAGAATGACCGGTCGCTATGACGTGCACTGACCACCAGGGGGCAGATGCTCAATGCAGGAGCTGCCTCCTGGTGGTCAGTGCGCTCCCACAGGGGGAGCACCACTCAGCCAGAAGTCGGGCTCATGACTGGGGAGTGCAGCGGTGGTGGCAGGCGAGCAGTAAGGAGCAAGAGGTCCTGGACTGCGAGAGCTCCAGACTGCAAGAGGGATGTCTTGTCTGACTGCCGGCTTAGGCGGACATCCCCCGAGGGGTCTCAGATTGTGAGAGGGCACAGGTCAGGCTGAGGGATTCCACCCCCCCGCCCCCGCCCCTCCCCCCAAGTGCACAAATTTCGTGCACCGGGCGGGCCTCTAGTTGTAAATAAAAGGCATGTCTTAGAGTGAACGTATAATTTTACATGTCTATGGAATGCCTTTTTTTGTACCATACATTCTGGTTTTAACAGTAGGCACAGAGATGACATTTGGCTCAGTCTAATAATACTCAATACACTCCCATCAGATTGGAAAGGCTCTTCAACCTCAGCCAACATTTTTCCTTAAAGATTCCTGTGCAATGAACTCCAATGAAAGTCAGTCCTTGGTTGTAGAAACTTGGTCGGCAGGGGAGACAGGAGACCACGCACCCAGAGGAATCAAGCGAGTGTTTGAAGGCAGAATCAGACCCCAGGTACTGTCATTCCTGCACCATGCACTTCGGCAGAGTGGGCAGAGATTAGCGAAACATCACATTAAACTACTCAGCTCCCTCTCAAAAAAGTCACGGAGAGAGTGAGGGGAACCCCAGGCCCCGCGCAGCCCTGTCAGGATGCCGCTGACCAAGGTCCCCTGGGAAGGCAGGGGGTTTATGAACACCTGAGAGCAGGCGTGTGAGCTGGTGTCTGAGCAGTTCCAACATATCATCAAGGGCTTCAGCCACGTTAATGAGAACCAGAGCTCCAGACCAAAACACTTATTTTGAAAATACCTATTTTTCAAAGATTCTGCATTTTAAATTAAACCATATGAGTAATTGTATCCTAGGTTCATAGCCCATTCTGGAAAAAAAAATTCTTGTCCCCTACCTTGGGTAACAACTGCATGATTTTGAGAAAGGAAAGCAGCTGATGGGGAGGGAGATAAAAAGGAGAGGGGGGCGTGTGCCCAAGTTCAAGCCTTTAGGCAACCTGACCACCAGGGAGACCAGGCCTCTGGGAAGAGTTTCCAGATCTCTCTCTCTCTCTCTCCCCAAAAATGCAAATTCACCTTGCAAGCTTATGGCACCTCCACCTCACTTCTATAGAAGGTGAGAACTGGTCATAATCCAGTACATTTAAAGTGTTTCTTAAATCCGGGGAGTAAAAAAAACTGTAAAATCCAGGCATCCTTTGATGATCTTTAAATGGAACTATTTGTTTTGTTGGAGTAGAGGGGTATTTTTTTCTTTCTTTTTATTTTTTTCTTTACTCAAATTTGTTTTGTTTGCTTTGTTTTGTTTGGCTTTGCTCCATTTTGTTTTGGTTTGTCCAGGAGTGATCTGACCTTTTGGGGGTTGGGGGGATTCCCCTCTTGGCCCCAGGAGTTGTGTATTGCTCTAAGCAGCTATTTCCAGAAAAACTGAATAAGGTTAAATTGATGATAGACCCTGAGACTACAAATTCCCACAGACTTAATTCTATTCTTTCTCCTTCTCTGACTTGGCGACATTGTACTCAAAACTATTTAGTTCTAAAATAAATATTTTCTTACCTTTGGAATTGGTTATGGAGGCTTCAATAAAACTTGTTGCTACTTTTGCAAGAGACATTCATTCTGCCCACCCCCACCCCACTAGACTATTAAGTAAGTTGGTGATGGGCAGCAGCAGAGAGAGCATATGGGGGAACATGAGAAGTAGAGAGGTCTAGTGGAGTCAAGCAGAAAGTTAAGAGTTCAAATCCTCCTCCTGACACTGGATCCTGGGTGTAATCCTCTGTCATCCTTCTGAATAGAAGTTAGTAAGTACAGAGCTTTACTGTGTCGTGGGCATTCTCCTCGTGCAAATCTCATTTAATTTTCACACATAAAACTTATTCTCATGATAAGGAAACTGAGACACTAACAGTTTAATTGGACTTGACCAATGTCCCAGAACCAGGACTCAAGCCAAGGTCTGCCAAGCCCCAAAGCCCCTGCTTGTAAGACTCAGATATGTAAAGTAAAAACTATGACACATTAGGCCCCAGGAGCTTAGTATTAATTCATTGATTTGTATCCAGCTGTGACATGATAGAAAGAGCAGGGCATCTGCTTCTAAATTCAGACTCTTCCCCTTACTAGTGATATGAACTTGGACTAGCCATTGAACTTGAGTTTTAGTTTCCTCAATTGAAAAATAAAACTAATCATTACACTTACCTCTTAGTCTTGTTGTCAAGGTTATATGAGAAAACAAATGTGGAAGCATGGATCACACAGAATTTCAGTAGATGTTGATTGGTTAAGTAAGTTACTCAAAGGGAAATAGAGCATAGTGTCTAAGTGCTAGGTTTCTGGCTCGTTCTGTGAGATTTAAAACCCAGCTCTACGACTTAGTACCACCTTGGGCCAATTACTTTAGTTCTTGGCAAAATGGAGAAAATAATGAGGTTATATGTGCAAGTGTTAGAGTGTTATATGAATGTTATTAACATAATTATTAATATGAGTGGAAGTTGTCAATTTCTCGAGCATACTAAATAGTCTCACTATCACATGCTTGGAGGAAGGGGAAGAGCACAGGATTGCTACAGAAAAATAAAAATTTTACTCTAAGATTTGCACTAAATGGCCCAAGCTAAAAACAACACTTGATAGAGGAGACACAAATATATAATTACTAGAGGCCTGGTGCATGAAATTCGTGTACTCGAGGGGATGGGCAGTCCAGGGGCCCTCAGGGAATGTCCGACCACCAGACCTCCTTAGCGCTGCCACAGCTTCCGGCTGAGGGGCACTTCCCCTGTGGGAGCGCACTGACCACCAGGGGGCAGCTCCTGCATTGAGCGTCTGCTCCCTGGTGGTCAGTGGGCATCATGGCGACCAGCTGTTCTGCCAATCGGTTGATTTGCATATTAGCCTTTTATTATATAGGATGACTCAATGGGTGATATTAATGAGTTATTAATTAAACATATCAAAAAGGTAAATTTGATTTTTCTATACCATTTATTGAACACATATTGTGTTCTAAGCACCATGCTGGAACTGGGAATGCAAAGTAGAATGAGAAGAGTCCTGATCTTGAGAAGCTTATTGTCTCTGGCAGAAACAGGCATGAAAACAACTCTAATACAGATATTGAAAGCTACACAGTGGTAAAGAGTAAATGCTAAAGAAACATGACATCAAACAGTTTTATATTACCTAGTGAGACAATCATGCATGCAGTTTATCACCTCTCGCTATAAGGCACAAAGCAAGACTATCCAAGATCACTACTGATGAGTGAAATATCAATTTCTATGTAACTTATTTCCCCAATACCAAATGTCCAAACAAATGATATGCCAACTTGGGGGAAGTTCCTAGCTAAGTTTAAAGCACACACTGAATAAATGAATGTTCCCAAAAGACCTATATAAGGCATTGATTAGCCAGGAGTTCAAGAGTTTCAATCTGTGATTATAAAGACATAGACTTGAGGTGGGCAAGAAAAGAGAGAGGAGAAAGACCCAATGCAGGAAATGGAGATGCTTTCATGGCTAACAGAAAGGAAGAGAAGGTCACAGCAACCAGACTGTAGGGATTCT